GTTTGCAAAAAAAATCGTAATTTAACTTTTACTCCAAATCGCTATGAGTATAAGCGCAAGCGCTATAATTATATCGGTTTATGATACAGCAACATTTTTATTATGTCTGGGGAATGTTTGGTCCCTACTATCGGTTTGGCTGCTTACAATAAGTGTTGAAATAGTTCCCTAAGTATCATATTTAAAAAAAGAAATTCAAGCTATATGTAAAATTACGATTTTTGTTTTGCGAACTTTGAAGCGTTTGGCAGAAATTACTGCCTGTGGGAAGTGTCTGGAAGTGTTGACTATTAATTTATACCAATATTATGTGAAACGTTATGTAAAAATCCGAGATATTAAGAAAAGCGAGTAATATTTTTAAGGACTTTTAACACCTGATATCTGTAAATTGAATTAGCTGCAGTTCCAAGTTAGCAGGCATGCAAAAGTCCTTCTGTACCAATACTTCCCACCCATTTTATTACTTAGAAAGACATTACTTCTAACACTACTTTAACTTGTTAATCATAAAATAAGCAATGTCTGATGACATGAGATCATGCTCTATCTGTTTTTATGTTTACACAAACTTTTGTCAAATGACCCTAACTATTCACTGTTGTTTTGGTTTGGTTTACGGGACGTTTTCCTCTACCTAATTGTCTCCAATTTTCTGGTCCACGAATTCCCGTATTCAATGACAATAGAAGCGTGGCCTGATTTAATGCTCGCTTATCATGTTAAATTAAACATAATGCCAGCTAGAGATTGCGTCGATAATGGAACATTAGACTCAGACTGACAGTCACACCTCCAAATACAGCACATAAGTACAATATCAATATCTGTATTAATATTTTGACGATGAGACAAAAGAAGTTCGAAATAAAAGAAATATGTTGTATACAAGTATTTTCATCTTTCCACTTTTGAATGTCGCGTGCGTATTATTTGAAATATCTAATATACGTGAAGGCATGTTCACGATTGAGCTTTATTGCTGTTTTGTGCACTGAAATGGTTCGGTTAAAAATTTTAATAAGCACACAGAACTCCAAATGTCGCACATCAATAAAGCGGTAGGCATTTACTGTGGGCTGTTGATAATATATTTTAAAAGTTATTTGTGAAGCGAACATGCACGCGCATTTGTAGAAAATACATGCATACATCTAAAATATTAGACTTATCGTTGATAGAGTTGCAAAAATATTAATATAAAAATTTACATTATCCAGTCATTATCATAAGGTCGTCAATTCTAAGACTGGTTGGACACGCATCTCTATTCTTTCCTATCCTAAGCTAAACTTCGCATTTTCCCAAAACTAGAACAACCCACTTACTTTTCTGTTTTAATATGTCTCTGACTAGACCTTCATGCCTGAGAAGGTGTCCTACCAACCTATTTCGCTTATTTTTTATTGACTTCCATTAAGTCGTCTGTTCTCCTATTATTTCTAATACCTCTTCATTTCTAATATTCTCTATCCACGGTATCCTCATCATTCGCATGTAACTCCACATTTCGAACGCTTTCTTTTCCGCCGCGCCCACCGTCTACCTTTAACAATCTTTTCAGAATTTGTAAATTAATCGTTCGCGAGCATAGAAGTGAATTCTTTTTATTGAAGGCGACTCGACCCTTCGCTATCCTTTGCTTTATATCCCTACTACTCCTTCCGTCTTACCTTTCCAATACCGTTTCCATTTTATTTAAAACTATCTCTAACTCCTCCTTGCTAGATGATTATACTGCTATATCATCTGCAAATCTTAGCGTACTAATCTTTTGCCCCTGTATATCTATCCGTACAGTGGTATTGTCTTTAATGATGTTGATCGCGTCTTCGATGTATAGATTAAAAAGTAGCGGTGACAGTGTGCATCCCTGTCTGACTCCCATCCTAATGTTTACTTTCATACGTTTCAGCTCCATTTCTATAACTGCCTGTTGCTCTTTGTACAAACTAAGTATCACTCTTCGATTTTTTTTTCTACCCCATTTAACAATTTAAAGCTTTTAGTAAATTTACGAATCCTATGAACGTACTCGTTCCTTTTTCTATCGTATTCTCTATTGGTACCCGTAAAGCTACGATAGAATGAACTCCTGCGTTCCTCTATTTCTTCTAAACCCAAATTGATCTTCTTCCCCTAACAGTTATTCCGCCCTTTTTTCCATCATCCTCTGTACAATTCTAGTTAAGATTTTTGACGCATGGGAAGTTAAGCTAATTGTTCTAAATGTCTCGCACCCACTCGCGCTTCTCTTTTCAGGTATGGTTACTACATCGTTCCGTTTATAATCCTGTAGGACTTTTCCCGTCTGGTAAATGTTACTAACTAGTTTAAATTTCCGCCTGTATCGCATCTGTACGCGACGCCTTATTATTCTTTAAGTTTTTTAATGCTACAAATTACTTTTGTGTAAATTATCTACATTAATCAATACTTTTCAGTAGTGGAAATATTTTTCATTAAATGTTACTTTTTTCTTTTACTCATGAAAGCATTTATAACTGATTTTTTTATACAAAAGTAGCGGCTAATAGAAAGTATTTCCATTGGTCTGATTATGTATGCAATTTCCTCTACATTTTACAAAAGTAAAAGTTTATTTGAATTTCAAACATTGAAAATTAATTTGTGCATTTTCGTTGCTTTTTTATACTTAGACACTTTATGTAACGAAAAAAACTGTTAGTTCCCTTGAGTTTCGTTATGGAGAGTTTATACTTTGTATTTAATATGGTACCTATATACATATATATATCTATGTAGCGAAGTAGTTTATAAAAAGTTCCGTTAGTTCAAAGGCAATTACCTAAATTTTCCTGGCGTATCTCTAGTTTTTGCTTTGAATAAATTAAATTTTTTAATAACTTTTAGCGCTTCCAGGCCCGACTAAGTGCTTTTTGAAAAAAAAAAAATAAATAAATGAAAGGCAAATGAGATTTTATAGATGCTAGTAGCGCTGTGTACTTTTACATAACGAAAGAAACATTCATAATTCATATTATAAAAGATGAAATCTGCATAGTGAAATTATCCTCGTATACTGCCGGAAAACTAATTATACGATGAGATTAATTGCAGTCCTTATCGCTTAAGGGCGCCACAACTTTTACCATATGAATGTCGAATCGGGCTATAGGTAACCCTGGAACCGTTGAACATTTTGTTATTATCAGAATTCATCAAACATTTACAAGTAGTATGTAGATACTTCCGGTTCAATTCTTTGTGATAAATTCAGAATTGCACATATTTTTAAAAAGGAGGGACGGATAAGCCCCTTATTTGACCCCCAACTAATTGTTTATATTTTTTGTGGTATATTGGTACCACTGAAAATGATAATGGACATGACTGATTGGACTTGACTTTTCTAAAACTTTCTTTTGATTTTTTGAATCGATAGAACCTTCCAAATAACATTTGCCACAAACTGTGCAGTTCAATACCAAATAGGAACATTTAGATGTTTTAAACATTCTGTTGTTTCTATATTTTCTTAGTAATACCTGTTTAATATCATTTAAAGTTTTCTAGCTTCACAACAATAATATTGAGGCATTTTGTGTTCAAAAAAAGAAAACAGTCAGTTAAGACAGCAAAACTGAAATAAATATGATCATCATAAGGTCGTCAGTCCTAAGACTGGTTGGACACGCACCTCCACTCTTTCCCATGCTGAGCTAATCTTCATATTTCCCTAAAACTAGAACAACACATATCTTTAACTATTTGCGAACAGTCATCTAATCTAGGTCTACCTCTACCCCTCCTAACTCCTGTTTCTGCCTCTAATATGTCTCTGACTAGACCTTCATGCCTGAGAAGGTATCCTACCAACCTATCTCGCCTATTTGTTATTGACTTCCATAGAGTCCTCTGTTCTCCTATTCTTTCCAATACCTCTTCATTTCTAACCTTTTCTACCCACGTTATCCTCACCATCCGTCTATAACACCACATTTCGAACGCTTCTAACCTTTCCTTTTCCGCCGTGCCCACTGTCCATGTTTCGCACCCGTACAATGCCGTGCTCCAAACATACACCTTTAACAACCTTTTTCGAATTTCTACATTAACCGTTTGCGAGCATAGAAGTGACTTCTTTTTATTAAAGGCGACACGACCCTGCGCTATCCTCTGCCTTATATCCCTACTGCTCCTTCCATCCTGACTTATCTGACTTCCCAGGTATCTAAAATCAGCCACTTCTAATTTTTCGTCTCCTATCTTTATATTCGCCCTTTCCCTACTTTTTCTTCCCTTGCATACCAGTATTACATAGTCAAACTATGGTACTGCATACTGAACAATTATCTTATTTACCGGATTAATCACTAATCCGATGCTAGCAAATGATACCAAAAAAATACACAATTTACTCAATTATTTAAAAAAACAAAAAAAAAAGGTTTTGTATATTGTCTTTTTGGACTTACTTGATGAGGCGGAGTTGGAGCTTGAACTGTTGGAGATGCCTGTGGTTGAGCGGTAATACGGGGGTGTCCCGGCCGGTTCCGGTTTGCTTCCTGGTCCGGGGGTGGACGAGCGAGCGATGCCATGGGTCACGTCCGGCGCCGGAGGCACCCGGTCGTCCTGAAACAAACGTCCCGACTTCAAACTACATTGCACCATTAATAAGAAATGGTACATACAAACGACAAACCCTGCGGACAACTCGGATCATCACTCAATCGTGCAAAAAAAGGGACAAACAGACAAACAGGATACGATGCTGTTGCACTAAATAAAATGTCAGCTTTATTTACGTGAAAAATGTCAAGTTATCATTCTCTAGCAGAGATATTGTGAACGTGTTTCACATGAATTATAAAAAATATTACTTTTATCTGCAAAAAGGGAATAACAGGGATATGCTTATAGATACAATTAAAGAGTTTTATACAAGACAGAGACGTTAAGACTAGTAGATACATAATTTCATTTTAGTTTATATTAAATAGAATAATAATAATATAAATTTTCTCGAATATGACAAATCAAAAGGATATTGTACAGATGTCATCTTAATTATAAATTGTTTTGTAAAGTATAGTAGGACCATACCACTACCGAAAGTATTACGATATTTTTACCTGATTTCAGGGACCAAAGCGCAACATTCACCCTAGTTATCAATCATTCTATCTATCATCATTATTATAAGGTCGTCACTAATCTTCGCATTTCACTAAAACTCGAACAAATCCCACATCCTTAGATGTATAGTAATCAAAGGGAACTTAAAGCTCAATTTAATGATTACTTTCACTATAGCAAGAAGAGTGTATCTTCAATTATATATTAAAGTGGAATATCTTTGAGTTCGTTTTATTTTTCATTTTAGTTCTACATTTATTATTAAGAAAACTTAAAGATCGATTTAATTATTAACTATAGCAAAAAGAGTGTATCTTGAAGTATGTATTAATATAGGGGTATGTTTGAGTTCGCTGTATCTGTAATTTGGGGGTAAATTAGGTCAGATTAGGAGCTTTTTCGCCGAATGCAAGATGCTCCTAACAATAAGAAGTTTAACGAAAAGTCCAGCGAATGTTTAAATCATTATCCATCGTGATTGTTTATTATAAGTTAAATAAAAATAGATTTTAGTTCTACGTTTATTCGTATTGTCAATAGTCAGCCATTTTTATTGCTTCACTATGACGTAGTGTCGGTCATCATTCTTTTCTAATTGTTGCCGTATTGTTGCTGTTGTCGGCCATCATTCTTTTTCAATTGTTGTCGTATTGTTAGTGATGTCAGCCATTATGGTTTTTTAATTTCTGACAAAAAGGACATCTCCTTACAACGGTATATAGTAATCAAAGGAATCTTAAACCTCGATTTAATGATTACTTTAACAATAGCAAAAAGAATGTATCTTCAGTTATGTATTAAAATGGAAAATCTTTGAGTTTCGCTGTATCTGTAATTTGGGGGTAAATTAGGTCAGATTAGGAGCTTTTTTGCCGAATGCAAGGTGCCCATAACAATAAGGAATGTAACGGAAAATCAAGTGAATGTTTATATCATTATCCATCATGATTGTTTATTATACGTTAATTAAAAATAGACTTTAGTTCTACGTTTATTCGTATTGTCAATAGTCGGCCATTTTTATTACTCCACTATGACGTAGTGTCGGCCATCATTCTTTTCTAATTGTTGCTGTTGTCGGCCATCATTCTTTTTCAATTGTTGCCGTATTGTTGCTGATGTCGGCCATTATGGTTTTTTAATTTCTGGCAAAAAGGACGTCTCCTTACAACGATGTATTTTAATCAAAGGAATCTTAAACCTGAATTTAATGACTACTTTAACGATAGGAAATTGAGTTTATTATCAATTATGTATTAAAGTGGAATATCCTTGAGTTAGGATTATTTTTATTTTGGGGGCAAATGAGGTCAGATTATTAGCTTTTTTTCCGAATGCAAGGTGCCCACCTCAGTAAACCAAAAATTAAGCTATTGATTAAAGTATTATCCATCATGATTACTTATTATATGTTAATGTAAAATATATTTTAGTTTATGCGTATTGACAATAGTCGGTTACTTTTATTACTCCACTATTACGTAGTGTCGGACATCATTCTTTCTAATTATTGCGGTTATCTGCCTTCCTAGATTCATCTCTCTCTCTCTCTCTTCTCTTCAAAAGCTTTTTCTAAATCTACAAATCCTACGCCAGTTATCTATACTTTTCATAAATTAATATTGTAATTTCGTCAATTCTGTTTTTCAAATTTTATAATTGTTTTTAAATTTGTTGAACACATTCTCGCTTTACTACTTTCCTTTTCTTATGTTGCATTTGTCGGCAAGTTGAGACGGTAATGTGCTAAGCGAGCGATTTACCGATGATAGAAAAGTTGATGGAAGTTCAATGAGCTGAAGAGCGCTAACGATCGATTTTGTTTAGCAAATTATTTCTCGTGTTCGTGAGCACGAAATGAGCGTCAATAACGAGTTGCAGCGTCGTCGTTATCGCTGACGAACCAAGCGCCATCGCCAGCAATCGCTAGCTCTCTGCTTGCCTGTCTATTCTACCTTTTATTATTCGATTTAATTTTGCGAGCAATTCTGTACTGTGTATACTACGTCTAAATCCCGCGAATGTCGTCGAAGGTGATGGTGATGATACTGTACAATTCTGTGTTAATTTAAATGCGGACAGAAGGGGCTGCTAATGCAAGGAGCACTGGCGTTGCGATATAGGGTGTACCTAGCATCCACACAAGAATAAACAAACCTCGTCATAGTTGTATCTTTGGTACTTACTAATCCATAATATGATTAACGCGAAGTGGATATTGCTTACAACATACAGCAGCAGTTGCTTCAATTCACATACATAATAATCCATGAATATTCGACAAGGACGTATGAGTGTACCCTTAATAAATAATCGGCGCATAGTATGTATTAATCCTCACATACTGTCATATTTCCTCAAATGCAACCGTACACGGTATTTAGTCTTGATTTAGCCTTGAAGGTATGTTATATTTGTACAGAACAAGAAGTAATGTGTCTTACCTGTAATGGGTAAAATCACCGTTGGTCATTTTGTTAGTTTTGAAGTAAACTACATAAGACTTCCATCTGTTTCGACATCCAAATTGGTTTTACAGTCTTAATCTTGGTTTTCCGAAAATACAAGATCAAGACTAAGACCGAACAAACAAGACTAAGACAAAAACTAAGATCGAATATGCAGGATCAAGACCTAAGACACTACTACTTCCTGTGGATTTATGAGGATTTATAAGTTACACTATTTAAAGCAACTTCAATATATTCTTTTCTTTTAACAAAATATTTTTTGTATTTGAAATTTTTAGTTTGCTTTACTAGATTTTAACACTAAATTTAAAAAAAAAATAATCGAACCGGCGTCCTCCCGAATGCTAAGCAATGGTCTAAACCTCTAGGCCATGCCGCTCGGTCTAAAACTAGAACAACCCATATCCTTAACTATTTGCAACAGTAATCTAATCTAGGTCTATATCTACTCCTCCTAACCTCCGTTTCTGTCTCTAATATTTCTCTAACTAGACATTCATGTCTGAGAAGGTGTCCTACCAACCCATCTTGCCTATTTCTTATTGATTTCCATAGAGTCCTCTATTCTCCTATTATTTCTAATACCTCTTCATTTCTAAACTTCTCTATTACGGTATCCACATCATTCGACTGTAACACCACATTACGAATGCTTCTAACCTCTTCTTTTTCGCCGCGCCCACCGTCCATGTTTCGCTCGCGTACAACGATGCGCTCCAAACATACACCTTTAACAATCTTTCTCGAATTTCTAAATTAATCACTAGCGAGCATAAAAGTGACTTCATTCCATTGAAGGCTACTCGACCCTACGCTATCCTCTGCTTTATATCTCTACTACTCCTTCCGTCCTGACTTATCTGACTTCCTAGATACCTAAAATCGGCCGCTTTTTCTAATTTTTCGTTTCCTATCATTATATTCGCTCTTATCCCTATTGTTTTTCCTTGCATACCAGTATTTTTGTTTTACGTTTATTTATTTTCATACAGTACTGTTTTGTCAATACCGCAAAATAATGTTTTAAAAAATAAGCATTGTAAGTTATCGTACGAAGATAAAATGATGAAATGACTTAGACAGATTATATTATCAATAAAACTTGGCATATCCACACTGAGGCATATGAGTTGCACGGGTGTCAAAAGTTCACTTTCGAATGTATGTTGTACGTTTTTGCTGTTACATATTTTATTTCCTGCCAGCTGAGACAACATGTGCGTATAAGCCGTGTGATTAATATTCACTCACAGATAAAAATAAACTTCAGTAAAGAGAAGGTGATGGCATTCAATTGGAACCACTGTGCAAGTTCCTAGTTTAATTAAGAAGGTCAGAAAACGAATTGTACTTTTTAATTGTGCTTACATTAAGTTGAATGGAAAGATCTAATGGTCGAAGGGGCGTTATCGCCTAATTCACTTTCGCTCCCCAGATCGCTCCTGCGCGTTACTCGAATATAAATGTCTCGGATCGAGCGTTTTCTTCATCTTTAATTAAATTTGAATCTAGAATGGCATTTATAAATGTAATATAGAGGAGGTTTGGTAACTCCTCTTTCGACATATCTACTGGTAATATTGCTTATCTCTCGGCACTAATTTTAACGAGAAATTCCAAGTGGCAGGTAGTATCTGACTGTCTAAAACGGGCAATTCCAAGTCGAACAACTCCTTTTGTTTACTCAACTGTATGGTTTTCGTTATAGAACGGCTTTCTGTGCTCTGTTTAATGTAAACGCTGGAACATGGCAGGCAGACTTGGAAAGCTACAATTTCAGCGATTAATGAAATAAATTTCTCTAAATGGTAGCGTCCAATTCATACACACACACACACATCCAGCTTTGTACGTATACAGGATCTGGTACATTTAACAGATAAATGTGTCTGATGTTAGTCAATTCAGAATTACAAATTAACGGTTCGCAAATGCTCAATTTCGGCTTTCACAGTCGATGTCAATCGGCGATGTCACGTACTTTCTGAGTTTATGGATCGTGGTCGAAGGTAACAATGAGTTTCC